AGTACTGTAGAAAGATATTCTGTCTATTGCATTTGTATTTGACAAATTACCATTGTGACTGTTGTACCTTATTTAAAAGTGACAGTACTGTAGAAAGATATTCTGTCTATTGCATTTGTATTTGACAAATTACCATTGTGACTGTTGTACCTTATTTAAAAGTGACAGTACTGTAGAAAGATATTCTGTCTATTGCATTTGTATTTGACAAATTACCATTGTGACTGTTGTACCTTATTTAAAAGTGACAGTACTGTAGAAAGATATTCTGTCTATTGCATTTTTAAAACTTTGAGCTTTAAGATAAATTTTAATGCTGATTTTATTGACAAACATTGATCATATAATAGCTTAATTAAATTTTAAATGTAACTAAGTAAAATCTTGTGATGTGTGTATAGAAAATAGTCACAGTAAGAAAGGAGTTAATTCTATATTATTTCAAACCAATTGAAAGCCAAGGTTTTAATCTATTAAGTGACATATTATTCTATGTTGTTTTCTGTACAGAGATTTATCTATTTCGCTTCCAGTTCAAACTTTATTCCCACAGGAAACACATCGACGAGCTTAAATGAATATTTAATAGCCTTTATGGTAGTTATGGGATATTGTCTGCTTTTTGCATGTTGTTGTTATATGTTTTTTGATGCATTATTCAATTAAATAAAAAAATCATTTAGTGCAATAATACCATTAGTATAGAAAAGTAGGGTTAAGTGTCATCGACAGTCAACAACAAAAAGAAACCGAAGACCCAGGTAAGCTTTATTTCTTGTTTTCGTATATATTCTTTATTTATTATTATAAAAGTAAATATAATGTAAAAAATAGAAACTTTTGTGATATAAGGTTACATTAGGTAAAATAAAAAATAATAATAATAAAAAAATTTCATGAATTATGCTTGAGAATAATCAGTGTGTTACATAATTTTATAGGGTAACATGAGCTACATGTTCGCAAAGTGATTTACATTTTAAATGGCACGAATATTAGTTAGACTTGGTTCAAAGAGCAATAAAACAATAATATTTAAGTATAAACAGATGTATACTGTTATGAGTTTAACTATTTAGGGTAAACAAATGTAGTTTCATGTTACAATTTGAAGTCATTCCAGAAAATGTAATTTAGATTTATTTTGAATTTCATTTTGATGAGTATGAGGTCGGTCAGATTGACCAACCTTGCACTTAGTTAGGGTAGTTAGAATATAAATTTGACTGAAATAAAAGTTTTAGATATTATGCATGTGAAATTTGAGATTTTTCATATAAAGAGAAATATTTTTAATCTTAACATGAAAATCACTTTTCACTTGGAGCAGTCAACACTGTCTCCACATTTTCATGGAGAAATTATGCAAGTGAAAATACTTCATTAAATATTTTCATTTTTTGTTTACTAATGACTTAAACATTACTGAAAGCTTGCGAGATTTCTTGAAGATACACAACACATGTTAGAAGTTATAGTATGGAAATAATAAAGGTCAACTTGGGGTCATGTACTCAGCCGATTCAACTGAGCCCATAGCGAGAGAGTTAATTAAGTTAACGTTATATTGCAGATTCAAAGGTAAAAGAGCATATCCTAATGTTCCAAACCAACCAAGTGAAGCCTCTGCTCATTTCATGTTTGAACTGGCCAAGACTGTACTTACTAAAGCAGGAGGAAACAGTAGTACAGCTGTGCTGTTTACACAACCATCTGCAGGTCAGAACCATAGAGGCCCACACCGTGCTCTCCACATATGTGCTTTCCAAATTGGGCTGTATGCTCTTAAACTACATAATGCTGTTTCTCCTAACTGGCTGTCCCGGACCTACTCTTCACATGTGTCATGGATTACTGGTGTGTATTGTTAATTTACCGTTTTACTTTTTCTGTGTAGCTAATCAGTTTTCATATTTTGAAAAGAAGAGTTACTTCCTTACTGGTTTATTCAAGTTAAAGTTAAGTTTTTAAACTCATCAGACTTTCTACGTATTCTTCTTGATATTCGGTAAGTATATCCATTACCTGAGAATTTAGGTGTTGCTAGTAATTTGGCTTAAGGGTATTGGTAATAATCATGTCTTTTAATATTCAAGAGAATTCCGTATGTGGCTGACTGCAAAACAGTCAAGGTTTTTTAGAAGATAATCAGATCAGTTATTTGGGTTTGTATAGTTTTACAACTATACTCCTCTAAACTAAGAAAAAAGCCACAATCATAAATATTTTGCATTGATTTGATTGTCTGTCTTTTACATAGACAAGCATGAACAATTTTTGAGGAAAATTTAAGTTAATCCTCTTGTTAAGCTGGAATAAAGTATTTGCAACCAGATTTTTTTTTTTTTTTCAGAATATTTCATCAAAAGTAATTGACAGTAAAATGTATACCAGATGAACATAAAGTTCTTTTAGTGTCTTTATTTTGTTACATGTATAAGAAATACAATCAGTCATCAAATTTCACATTGTTGCATGGCATACATGTACAAAAAATATTAAGCTATAAGGATTGATAGCAAAATTTACTTGGAATTTTCATTTATTTATTTTTGTAGTTCCTTTGAGTTTCTTTAATACAGCAGTCTTAGTCTGAAAATCATGATTTATTTAACAAATACAGTTGACTAAGAATAACCCATGTAGCCTAGCTTTAAAATAGATATTGAGTTTGTATTAGTGTCACCTGAAAACCTTGTATTGAAGCAGAATGTATTCTGCCTACATTTTTTTTAAAGCTTTCTGTATGTAAAATGTTTCTGGTATCTGGATGTACATGCACATTATTACCATTTTGTATTCAATTTCATTAACTTCAAGGTCTTATGAAAGATATGTTTTTGAGCCTCTGAATATACATGTGTCTTGACTTTTCAATATTTGAAACTGCAGAGTTGCTGATGTGTTCTTAAAAGACATCTGAAAGAATTTCAGTTAGTCACATTTTCAGCATGTTGAAATATGCTTACTCAATATGCTGTGTAAGATTGTAGCTTTTGAAACGTCTTATACCACAAGATATCCTGAAATATGTTCAGCTGTTATAAAAGTGATTACCTGCATTTTGTTAGAGGTTTCGTGCATTTTGGATCCGGACTTGTACAACACTGTTTAAATTCCATTATAGAAAATTCATCACAATTTAAGAAGATACTAGTGATTAATTTCATATTGTTATTTTTATTTTCACCCTCATCACAATAGGTCAGGCTATGGAGATAGGTAGCTTAGCCATCAAGGACATTCTTATTGACTCTTGGGAAGGTCATCTAACACCTCCTGAAGTAGCCTCCCTTGCAGACAGGGCATCAAGAGTCAGAGATCCAGCAATGGTTAGAGCTGCAGCTGAGCTAGCTCTATCCTGCCTTCCTCATGCACATGCACTTAACCCTAACGAAATTCAGCGTGCTCTCATACAATGTAAAGAACAGTGTGTCGAGATGCTGGAGCGTGCATGTCTGGCAGTGGAGTCTGCAGCAAAGGGAGGAGGAGTGTATCCTGAGGTTTTATTTGATGTAGCTCACAGGTGGTAAGTCTGAGACCACTGTCATTTATTGATAAATCATTGGAAAATATTGTTTTGCTACTCGTCAAAATACATTTATTAAATACTGAAAGACAGTTGTGTAGTGAATTATTTTGTCTGCAAAACAAGTTCTGGCCAATGGGATTTGATATGTAATGTATATATTTTTTTTCTTTCATGATTACAGTTTATGATATAAGTTTATAAAGAATGTTTTCAGACATAAAAATATACCATGTAGATGATAGTAGTATTCTGCTTATAGAACAGTGTAGTTTGAATGATTTTATATGTTTGCTAATTAATGAACTCAGTATTAACTTTAAAAATATGTTTCTCTGCACTAGGTATGAACTCTATGAAGAAACGCTACAAGGCCAGCAAGATCACATCTCAGAATCTCATGGTTTTTCTGCTGACATGACTTTTGGACATTCGAATACAGAGCAGTCTGGAACCCCTGTGTCTTCAGCTGCAGAGACATTAGCCATGTTGACTACTTGCCAGGTTGAAGGAATGGTTACCACAACTCCCACAGTTCAGGTCTTTCCACAACTTAGTTGTCAGCCTGTATCTTATTCCCTTCCATACCCTGCACCTCCTTATGGCTATATTCAAGGTGTCCCTAGTCCATTTCCTCATGGCCCTGTACCCCTTCACCCTGCATATCTTCCACCTCCCCCTACTTATGCTTATCCAGCACTGGCAAGTGCTTCTTACTATCCTACAACCTACACATCAACAGTAGCAGGTGCAGTTCATGTACGACACACTACTCCAGGACTCTATACTGGACAGCTGTTAGGTGTGCCAGTGACACAGGCAGCAATGACCCAACCACGGCCAGTCTTGCCAGTTAGTCCAAGTCCTCCACCTTCTGTCCCTCCACCTCAGCAGCCTCAAGTAAGTTATAAAATAACTTTTTTAATATGGTAGGTTATATTGGGCATTTACATGAAAAATATATCATAGTATGTAACACAAAATTAGATTTGTTAGTATGAGTATAATTATCTTTAATTTTCAGAATAATGTAACATTTTGTAGTGGAAGTTCTGCTGTATGTAATAGTGTAGTTCAATATATGATATTTTATGTAATATTAGCAGGAGATTGGGGGTAGATAGTTATGTAAATGTGTATACTGTTTTGCATAAACAGCTTAAAATGTTTTGATCAAAAACAACTATACAGTGTTATGAATACTATGCAGGTTTCTTTTATATATGTACTTATATGTTTTAGAAAAGTGGTGTATATATTTAATTGTTTTGATATTATTCAAGCCAGCCTTCTTCATGTGCTAACTTGAATCTGATAGTTGTAAGACAGATCTTTGATGAAACTTCAAAAAATTGTACAAAAGTCAAAATACAGTACAACTGTATTATATTGCTGGTTTTTGTGCTAAGAAGCATTTGTTTTTTTGTAATCAAGTCACTAAATTATGACATTGTGTTTCAATTGTTCTTACATTTCTAACTCCTGTTAAGTTTAGGTTTTTACTATATTGGTAAGAAGTTTATAATTATGTTATTAACTTTAAAGGGAATGTTAAAAATACATTAGATAATGAAATATTTTGCTTATTGTTCATCTGAAATCTAATCCCTTTGAAAGGTAAAATGAAAAAATAATTAAATTTTTAGTTTAGGCATGGTTCTCAGAAATGAACAAAATTCATAATAGTTATTCTTTTGTAAAAGTACCACGAAAGTTCTTTGCGCATACAAATATCTGTTTATTATAGAATTTCGACGATAATACAATACATAAAATTTCTCAAGTTAGAGCATTTAACCTGATTGCACATAAAATTTAAAAACTATACTTTTTTGTTATTCAGATTATAACTTATTTATTTCTAATCTTAGATGTTAGATAGAAAATAAAGTTTAAAATTGTTTTTATCCCAGGTTCACAACCCAATATCTCAGCTAAATCAGCGACAGTTGAACTACCTGTTAGCAGCATATCGTGTTGGAATGTTAGCTATGGAGACCTTAGCCCGTAGAGTACACGATGACAGGCCACAGGCTAAATATGCACGCACCCCTCCATATGGTGAAGATGTGAAATGGCTTCTTGGAGTTGCTAAAAAATTGGGTCAGTGAAAATTTTTATTTATTACTATGTCCATATTCTATCGATATATTTAATTCTTTGTAGAGATATTTATACCAAACTTAGTGAGAAGTACATGAAATTCTTTGTTTCTGCTCCCATGGTGATATATATTTTTCATTAGTTGTAAAAGTGTGTGGGTCAAAGAAAATTACAAAGAATGCCATATTACAAAAGTTCTTAAATCAAGACAGATTTTTTTAATTCTGTTTTTTATTAACTATTCTTGAAATTTTGATTATTTTGTAGCAGTTGATAATAAGAATATTTGATAGTAAAATAAAAAAAATATTTGTCAAATGAACAGCAAAACTATTTACTTTAAAAGAGTGACACAAACAGTTTTCGTTTTATTTCTGTTTCTAATTGGTGATCATAACATGTCATAAATTTAAGATATCACTTTATACCCTTCTCTTTTCAGGGACATCATATCTTCATGATTTCTGTATCTGCACGGTTAATAGTGTTGCCAGCCCTTTTGTTCTTCATGACTTGGTTTTGGATGCAGCTCACTATCTCTCTCTGTCAAGTTCATCCCCTATGGCTCAAGGCCTAAGATCCCATCTCCTCACACCCCTTATTCAGAAATGTCAACAGATGTGAGTGTATTTCTAATTGTTCTTTACAAGTTGTCAGAAATTTCATTAGAAAGATACTTTTCCCAGAACAGAAATGATAAAGAATGAATATTTCTGTACAAAGAATTGATTGTATTCTGAAAAATCATAATTTTTTCTAGAATGTTAGAATGTGAATAGTGGATTAACCGTCTCACACTGGGTAGGGTCAAAGTGCAAATGTCATGCCCTTTTCCAGAAATACCTTCAAAATTTAACTGGACTTTATTATGAATATATGTATATAAACATGACATCAAAATATAGTTGATAATTCAAATTTTGATATTACATAAATGTTAATATCTTAATTTCAAAAGGAAATATTTAAAAATTCTCAATCGTCACTCCTCTGTATCACGTGAAATTTCTTTGCTCTGAATTACCCATTTTAGATTTTCTTTATACTCCTCCATGACCTGAGTTTGGCATAAGTTATGCATTTATATTCTAGGTATTTCTAAATTGTAAAGTAAACTTATAGTCTTCATTCATGGTTTACTGAGATATATACAAAAAAAAAGTCAAACTTGCATGCCACCCATGCTACCACATCTAGCCTTTCAAAAAATGACAATAATTCTCTGACATTTGCTGTTTGATTACTTATAACCAGCTGGAAGAGCAGGTTTCAGTTTACTGAATTTCCTATATGGCTAGCTCATTCTGATGACAGTTTTCAAATTATTCAGCCTGCAGTTTTATTGCTACTATCTTCAGGATTGCCTTGAATAGCTAACAGAATTATTTTAACCCACTTACAGGTTAGTTAGAAAGCCAGGTACATTAGTTTTATATTTTTTGTATATGTTAATATTTTATGTTCTTAACTGCATATTTGAAATAAATAATTATATTATGTGCTTCTAACATCATTAAAAGAAAAGTTTTGTTGGGGGCCTGAGAACAAAAAGAAATAACACCCCCAAAAGTAAATACTAAATTTCTTGTTTTTAATGTATGTATATTTTTTAAAAGTTACTAAAATGCAAAAACTAAAGAACTGGTTTGGGTAGATAAGAGAAGTTAAATAAACAAGGTACTCGTGATAGTTTACACACAACACTTGTGTGATTGTGTAATTTGATGGTTACTTGATTGTTTGTTTATACTAAGCTGTCCCACTGTGATAATAGCTTTTGCCATTCTCTGATATGAGAGTGCCTAAAGAATGGTAGAGCAACAAAATAAGTGAGCAGGAATTTTGAAAAGTATTAGTTTAGCTGTAAGAATAATTAGTCTGTTAGAATGTGCAGTCTTTCTAGAAATAAAATGTGTAGCTTAAATATATTTTGTATTTTTAAACTTTTCATTTTACCCTACATTGTGGATTTCACTACACTTAGTGTTAGGGTAGAGAAAATACAAATCAAGTGTAAAGTTTTACTTGAAAAAAAACTTTTGATATTCATATAGAAGGTTCTAGAGGTTATGCAATTGAAATTTAAACTGTAAGATGAAAAAGTAATTTTATTTTTAATATTGGAAATCCTCTTGCACTTGAACTGACTCAGTAATGTCTTCATAAATTCACAAACAAATTTTTAGTAAAGATAATTTAAAAATTAATTTTTTTTTCCACAAGAGACTTGTAATGTTTACTAAAAGCTTTCCAAATTTCATGAAGATACACTTGATACATTAGAAGTAATAATATGTTCAGTTTCATGATTACATGGTGGCTGCAGGATTGCTCCAAATGACCGAGCCCATAAATGGAGGGTTAAAGAAAGGGTGGTTTCTGTGCACAGGTTTCAAAAAGTACTGCACTTGGTTCATGAACAAGGTTGACAACACACATAGCCCTTTCTCAGGTGTATATAACTAATCTAAAATTATTTAAGTGTAATCCTTGTACCCTTTAGCACTGAAACAAATATCGAGTACACACGAGATAAACCCTAAAGCTGCATTAAGTAGTTCATACTCAGTGTAGCTTTTTATTTATTTGTAACCTATTTTTTCAATATGTGAAATATACAAAAGTTTTGAACTAAAGTTGTTTTAACCTTATGCATAATAAAGGTCCAAAGTGAGCATGTTATGACCTTGTTACGGTTACATTCTAAATTGAATTAAATAACTTTATTATCAATGTCTGTTAGTAACCTTGTTATCAAAATGTGGTTTATGATTAAAATTTTTATTTTTCCTTGGTATTTGATTTCTTAATTCAAAAAGAAGTTTTTGAATAAATTCTCAACCTTCATTTCTCTGTTACATGACATGTTTATGCTCTGAATTGCCCATTTTCTGAGTTTCCAGTTAATTAGAAATGCATATTGTAGGTACTGACAAGCCAGAATACAAACTTGGAATCTCCAATCTTCTTACTTTACTAAGGTGTATAATAACAAAATGTCAAGCCCCTCCCTGTCTTTCAAAAAAATGTCAGTGATTCTCTGAAATTTTTATTGGATTGTTTGTAATTAATGGAAAGAGCAGCTTTGTCTTTACCATATTCCTTTTATTGTTATTTATTTTGCTGCCCTTAAATAAACATTTAGTCTCAGTTTTATTGTTTGCCATCATGTTTTTCTGCTTCAATTAGCTAACAGAATATTTTAACTCTATGGTATTTATGGAACATTCTTTTCTAGCAAATGATAATTTTTTTGTGTTCTAAAATGCATATTTGATGATTTTATGAAGAACCAACATAATATGGAAAACTAGTATTAAGAAAGTATGCTCTTGAGTACAAGTTTCTGAAATAGGTTTCAACTCTAATGTAAGCTCAAAATTTTTTGTTTTTAATGTATATTTTTTTTATTTATTATTATATATTTTTCAACAAAATTAACTGAAATATAAAAATTAGACTTATTAGGTTAGAAAAAATTAAAATTTCACGAGGTCAGGATCAGCTAACTGCATCACTCGTGATCATAACCTGATCAGTTGTTTAGACTAAGTTCTCCAGCTGTGGTTAATTTCCTGTCATCTACTTAAATATGCCTAAAGGGCATTGTTAAGTAATTAAATTAAAAGGAAGCAGATGTGAAAAGGTTAGATACCTGAGGATATTTCAATCAATAATTGTATTTGTTTGTTACAATCTGCAGTCTTTCTACAAAAGAAAAAGGCATTAGTGATTTTATTTTGTATTTTGCAATTTTGGGGTTCAAGATTTTGCTACAGTTAGTGTTAGGGTACAGAAAATAAAAGATAAAATTTAAAGTTTTACCAAAAAATTATTTAATATTCATGTAGGAGGTTCTAAAGGTTATGCAAATAAAATAAGAAAACTGTAAGGTGAAAATAATTATTTTTATTCTTAACATTAAATTCACTCTTCACTAAGACCGACTTAGTAAAGGCTCTGTAAATTGTGTAAAAATAATTTATTAAAATATCTGAAATCTTTGTGTACAACAGACTGGTAATTTTTACAAAAAGCTTGCCAAATTTCATGAAGATACACACAGTACATTCAGAGTTATAGTATGCATAGTGTATTTAACCCGTACACGAAGATTTAATTGAACATCTTTAATATAATTGTTTTAGATTTCTGGTTATGTTACCAAAGTATTTTTATTGTGTGTTAAGTTTTATAACTTTTTTTTTAAAATAGTTGAGGCTAAAGTTCATTGTTGAAATTACAAAATTACTGATATGTATTGAAAATTTTTATACCTTGCAGTATTCTGTGTATTGAGTTATTAGTAACATAGTTTGAAGTAATGGAGATTTATTCCAAATTGTTTTGTTCCTGAATATGTATTTGATATTGGTATATAGGTTTATAGCATGCACTCACTTCAAGATGTACCACATCACACCTGCTGAATATGAAGAATTTGTCAACATTATTCGAAAAGCAAGGTCAGCTTTTCAGCTCACCCCAGGAGGGATGGTTCAGTTTTCAGAGCTGTTGCAGAGTCTGCGTCGCTCCAAGTCCTGCAAAAAAGAACTCTGGCAGAAAATTTCAAGTGTTCTTGTTACATCAGCCATTTGATGATAAATAACATAGCATCAAAACATTTCTTTAAGATAACATACATTCTGAGCTATTTGTTGTCTATGTTTTAAAGCATGCTCTTTTCTGTTTTGAAAGCCACTGCGGTATCTGGACCTGCTGTCATTTTTTAGGGTATTCGATCTTCACATCATCGTCTACCATGAGAATGACTGTCCAAATACACCTATTGGCTCAGGTCTCAACATGGTCATCAAAAAGTGCTCAAACTCATTATGAGAAAAGGTTTTAACTGTTTGTACATTCAGTTGGTTTGTGTTTTCTAATTTCTGACTGTACACCAATTACATTATTATTATTGTTGTTGTGGAGTACTCTTACAATGAAAAACTCTTATATATTGGTGGTTTGTTGTTATTAAAAACAGCTTATTCATAGAAGCATATCTGTAAATGTATGTTACTTACAAGAATCCACTATCATATTGTTGTTCACTGACTAATACTTTTGGGTAAAATCCATCCATAAGATAAACAAAGTGTCCCACAGGAAATATTTTGAATCTTTTAAAGACTATTGTATTATTACAGGATTTTATTACAAATTCTCAGGTCCCATTCAGTCGAGAAAATAACATGTATGCAGTATCCTTAAAATATGGAAAACTTATAAATCAAAATTGTTGCTTTTTGGGAAAGTATGATCATTTTACTTGTTTAGAAACTAATTAACACTTAATTATTTCATTCTTTATCATATAAAATTATCAAATGCAAATGTTAACTTGAGTGAGGATATTTCTATAGAAATTAAGAAAACTATAGAAGACATTGGGTACTTTTTTTATACCATTTATGATTGGGAATGGGATCCTGAAGTGGGCTCTGAGTAAAGTTTTATGAATCCCTTTATGTAGATAAAGAATGCTCCTTTAAGTAGCTTAAAGAACACGGTGCAAAATAAATGCTTCCCAAACTTGATGTCAGTTTACAAAAATTAAATAATTTTAGAATATTAGGTGGTTGTACTTATCTCCACTCTCAAGGTGGTTATGCTGTAAAGCAAATATTGATTTTTTTTTTTCATTGAAATTACACTCTTGACAAAAATATAAAATGTGTTGTACTATCTTCCCCCTCATTTTTTGCTTTATTTTTGTGTACTAATATAATGTAAACTAATTATGAAAGATTGTATCTGTTATGTAATTTTATTATAATTTGTTTGCTTTCTTTGCTCTTCATTTAGGCTTGTTGAGCAGAATTGATAATGAAAGTTGTACTATAGGAACCAGGGGCAGAACAATCTGATTCAGTTCATATTAATCCTAATAAGTTAGCTATTAAACTGACTGTTTTATTATCATTGTACTTATACTTTCACTTTAACCCAACTAACAAAGTCTTATAGTTTTTGTTGTTGTTTGAGTAATCATTGAGTGTTTAGTAATTTTATGCATTAGCTTATGACATTGTTGAAAATCAATAGACTTGTAAACATAGATCAGAAACCTGTAATGTTGACCTTGATGGTTTAAAAGTCCATTGTTGTTTCTAGAATACAAGTGAATTTATTAATGACATTTTAAGTATCATTTAGCTTTCACTGTGCTAAAAGATTATGCATGGTGTGATTATATATGTAGACATAAAAGGTACATGTTTCTTTGGTTTTATCGTGAGTCAGGGGTAGTTGGTATACATGTTTTTATCTGGTAGATATTTGTACTAATAACAGTATCATGAAAACTATTTTATTACTTTCTCAAACTCCCTGATTCAAATAGATACAGTCTTGTTTATCATCACACGTTTGGTGATAGTTCAAAAACTGCACATGAAATGGAAGAAACAGTCATTCTACTGAACAGTTATAAGCCAACAAAGTTTGTTTTTCATTTATAAAATAGTAATAAAAAAAAACACTCATAGCTCCAATTTTTATATTCCAGTTCTATGGTGTGTGTCCCCACCCCACTCCACCTTCCCAGATACATAGTTGTGATGTTTTATCTTAGATAGGATGTATGCTCTAAAAATATTTTAAGTTGAAAAAAACAATGTTTCAGTACTGTGTATATTTGTGATGGTGTCTTTCCTCAGTTAGTTATTGTACTTTTGGTATATGTTGTCTTTGTTTCTTCAGAAAAAAATATTTTATTTCACCTATAGCTTGCTCATTAAAACCTCTCAGAACAAAGGTTATTTTAGCCATAGTAGAAGAAAGTTGTAAACCAAAGTACAAGACATGTTCTTCCCTGTAATTTTATCTAGTAACAACAGATTGTTTATACACAATATTCAGGCTTTCGCATGGTATGAAGAAAGACAACAGTACAAGAGAATCAATTGTCAGTAGTTTTTCATAACAAAACACAAACCATTGTTTGGGTTGTCAGTCTATGCTAAAGTGATCTATTGTTGAAATGTTTTATTTTATGAATATCAAGACTGTGCCAGAAAAGCTCTGAATTTACTAGTGTCATAGTGAAATAATTTCTAATTTGCTCACTTCAAATAATTGTATTATAGTTAATCAGCCATACTTAAGATCAGTGTACCTCAGATGTCACAGTTATATTAGATGTGAAAATATTGCTTATAAATTTCAATTGATTGTCATTTGAATCTATAACTGGAGCATTTAATTATGATACATTTGGCATTTTGGACACTTCTTCATCATAGATTGAGCAACTTTAGAGGCTTAACAGAACAAGAAATATTTTGAAATGATACATTCACAAAAATCTTTCTAAAATGATAGCTTTCATTAATTACTTTACAAAAAGATATTTAAATACTACATTTTTGTAAACAAGATTTCATTTTAGAACATCTCTTTCATTTTCATAGAAATTTGGGTATACTGTAGTCAATAGACATATGTTTAAAACCATTATGGATCAACAAAATTATGGGAGTTTTCTGAAGGTATAGATGAACCATATCTGAGTTCTTATGAGATTATTTTCTGTCACAAACAAGTCAAGTCTGTTTGATAATTCTACATTTGATAAATAGCTGTTACATAGGTTCTCGTAAATGGTAATTTGTCAAATACAAATGCAATAGACAGAATATGTTTCTACAGTACTGTCACTTTTAAATAAGGTACGACAGTCACAATGGTAATTTGTCAAATAAAAACGCAATAGACAGAATATCTTTCTACAGTACTGTCACTTTTAAATAAGGTACGACAGTCACAATGGTAATTTGTCAAATTTCCTTTTGAAATAATTAATTTATCTTTAAGGTTCCTTTTGAAATAAAAAAATTAAAACTTAGATAATATTAACATGAGTCAAGAACTGTTCATCTGAACATGCCCCATGAAACTGGAAATAAGAATGCATAGACAGAGCAATTAATCTAGATTCTTTCTATATATGGTAAGTTAACATGAGTCAAGAACTGTTCATCTGAACATGCCCCATGAAACTGGAAATAAGAATGCATAGACAGAGCAATTAATCTAGATTCTTTCTATATATGGTAAGTTAACATGAGTCAAGAACTGTTCAAACTACAAAGAAACAAATTTAACATTTTGTGACCTTGCAGATCACGAGAGAATAAAGTAAAATTTTATTAATTTTTCTTTAAGGCCTAGAAAGAATCTAGATTAATTGCTCTGTCTATGCATTCTTATTTCCAGTTTCATGGGGCATGTTCAGATGAACAGTTCTTAACTCATGTTAAACTTCCATATATAGAAAGAATCTAGATTAATTGCTCTGTTTACACATTCTTATTTCAAGTTCCATAAGACATGTTCAGAGAAAGGAGAAATAAATTTTTATGTAGTAGTGACAGATGCCACACCCACTTTCTACCACTGAGTTGCAATTTCTCAGCCAATAATACTTAGTTCAGCTAGTTTGTCATAACCAATGGAAAGAGCTCATTTTGAAGTAAGTTCTCTTTACTGTTATTTAAAAATTGGCACAAAGAATTATATAGAAAACTAGTCAAACTACTCTTAGCATTGTTATTGCTTTGTCCCTGCCACTTTGGTGTTATTTCTCACCTAGAAATACATTATTTAGATAGACAGTTGCATTGTATTCAGGTTTTATATTTCACTTAATTATGTGTTATTTATGTTTTAAGATGTATATTTGAAAGGATTAATAGTTTTTCTATATATAAGCCAACATCTACTCGATGTAATAGTGTAATATGTGAACGCCACCATGTTGTGCCAAAGACAGAAGTTTCTTTGCCCACAATACATAAATACTGATGTGTGTTGCAATGAATAACAGTGCTAAAGGACAGGAAAGGATAATAAATTATATGTGAAAATGTAAAGATATGCAAAAAAAGAACATGTTTTAAGAATATTTCACCAAATATTAATCCTATCAGCATGGGTACCCTTTACATGACACAAGGTTTTAGTGTCTTACATTCAAAATTTTATTAAACTACTTTTTGTTTATGTTATACCAATTAGAATAGCATAAAATCTTAGCTAATAATCCATATTTTAATAGTATACAAGTTTTAAGTTCTTAATACTACAAGGAAATATATAAAAGAAATCCTGAAATTCCACTAGTGCAACGCACGTGACACATTTTGTCTTAGAATGTCATCATCATCCCTATTTTATCCATCACCCCTCGAAAATGTACAAAATTAAATGTAAAATACACTCTATAAAACAGTTATTGCTGAAACAGACCAACGTTTTTATAAACTTCCATTTTGTTTGGTTACAGAGATATTCAATAGAAAATCAGACCCCTCATGCAACACCCACTTGTCACATCTTCTCTTTCACAATTCATTGATAGTTCTCTCGTATGTTTCATTATATATTACCTATGACCAATAGAAAGTCAAGATTTTAATCTATCAAATGGCGTATTGTATAACGTTGTATTCTGAACAGAATATTGTTAATTTCACTCACAGTACAAGATTCATTCTT